GCCTGGGCAACAGAGTGAGACACTATCTCAAAAAAAAAAAAAAAGTTTATTATTCTTTGGGTGGCCAAGGCGGGCAGATCACTTGAGGTCAGGAATTCGAGACCAGCCTGGCCAACATGGTGAAACCCCGTCTGAACAAAAATATAAAAATTAGCTGGGCGTGGTGACGTGTGCCTGTAGTCCCAGCTACTCAGGAGGCTAAGGCAAGAGAATCGCTTGAACCCAGGAGGCAGAGATTGCAGTGAGCCGAGATCGCACCACTGCACTCCAGCCTGGGCGACAGAGTGAGACTCCATCTCAAAAAAAAAAAAAAAAAAAAAAAGAAAAGAAAAAAAGTTTATTATTTAAAAAATAGGGAAGCTTTTTATGTTCGGATAAGGAAATGACTCCAAGACATACAGTAACCGCAAAAGCAAGATGATGCTGGCACAGAATAGAAATGATACACACTTTCTGTGTATAAAGATGTGTATTGGGGCTGGAGGGGGAGAATATATTTTCATATTTGCTTGTATTTATACAAAGAAACTTGGAAAGATTCACAAGAAATTCCTATGTAGCCATGTGAGTGAATCACGTATTCGGACAAATAAAACCCCACATGTTGGCCGTGAGGTGGAAGTTTTCGGCGTTCCTAGCGATGCCTCCTCCTCAAAGGCCTGCCCGGCCTCCTCAGCTCCTCGTTCCCAAGCCCTTTCCGGGCTCACCCCGCTCTTGCTCACAACCCCCAGTGCCTGTCTGGCTCCTGGAATCTGGCAGAGCAACCCAGCCCTCTCAGCTTGCATTAGGGCTCAGAGAGCTGAACGATCCAGACACGGGTCACACCCAGGGACACACGGGGCAGGGATCCAAGCTGCACACCAGGACATCAAAGCAAATGACTTCTGACAAAAGCCAGCCTTACTAAACACAGGTGAAGGAGACATTCTTTGGAGAACAATTTTATTAACAGTTTAAGAACCTTAGAAGTGATACAGTAAAACTACTGTAAATCTGTCCTAAAGAAGGAAAGAATATTTTTATTGTTGTTGTTGAGACGGAGTCTTGCTCTGTTGCCCAGGGTGGAGTGCAGTGGTGCCATCTCAGCTCACTGCAACCTCTGCCTCCTGTTTCAAGCGATTCTCCTGCCTCAGCCTCCTGAATAGCTGGGATTACAGGCGTGCACCACCATGCCCAGCTAATTTTTCTATTTTTTGGTAGAGACAGGGTTTCACTGTTGCCCAGGCTGGTCTCGAACTCCCGGCCTCAAGTGATCCGCCCACCTTGGCCTTCCAAAGTGCTGGAGTTCCAGGCGAGCCACTGCGCCCGGCCCCAGAAGGACTCTTTTTAAAGGGGAAAAACTCTAATTTCACAGCAGCATCCTTGCCGATGGTAAGGCAGGAAGCTGTCTAGATGTCCAACGGCAGGAGAGTTAGGCCTGGGGAGGGTAGGGTTGCATCTCATACGGGTGAGGGGTCCAGCCAAAGTCACCCTTGGAAATCTCTTTAATCACCCATAAAGTAGGACATTTGCGGTTTAACATGATAGTCCTTAGCCGTGATAAGACTTTTTTTTTTTTTTGAGACTGGAGTTTCACTCTGTCACCCAGGCTGGAGTGCAATGGCGTGATCTCAGCTCACTGCAACCTCTGCCTCCCGGGTTCAAGCAATTCTCCTGCCTCAGCCTCCTGAGTAGCTGGGACTACAGGTGCCTGCCATCACGCCCGGCTAATTTTTATAATTTTAAGAGACAGAATTTCACCATGTTGCAGGTTGGTCTTGAACTCCTGGCTTCAAGTGATCCCCCTGCCTTGGCCTCCCAAAGTGCTGGGATTATAGGCGTGAGCCACTGTGTGCCTGGCCCATGGTACGGAATTACTACTGTGTCATACACACAGTAATGTGTCTTGTATACACTATGCAAAGTCTAATTTTACAGTTTTTTTTTTTTTTTTTTGAGACAGGGTCTCACTTTGTTGTCCAGGCTGGAGTGCAGTGGCTCATCCATGGCTCACTGCAGCCTCAACCTCCCAGGCTGACGCTATCTTCCCACCTCAGCCTCCTGAGTACGTGGGACTACAGGCGTCACCACGTCTGGCTAATTTTTGTGTTTTTTGTAGATACGGAGTCTTGCTCTGTTGCCCAGGCTGGTCTTGAACTCCTGGCCTCACGTGATCCTCCTGCCTTGGCCTCCCAAGGTGCTGGGACTGAATCACTTGTGCCTGACCCAGTATTTTGTTTTTAAAGATGGAGTCAGCTGGGCGTGGTGGTGCATGCCTGTAGTCTCAGGTACTCAGGGGACTGAGGCAGGAAAACCTCCTGAACCCAGGAGGCAGAGGTTGTAGTGACCTGAGATTCTGCTACTGCACTCCAGCCTGGGTGACAGAGGGAGACTCCAACTCAAAAAACAAAAAACAGATGGGGTCTCCCTGTCACCCAAGTGGCAGTACAGTGGCGTGATCGCAGCTCACTAGTCTCGACCTGCTGGGCTGAAGTGATCCTCCTGCCTCCGCCTCTCAAGTAGCTGGAACCTCAACTGCGTGCACCACGCCTGGCTCCGGTATTTAGAGTGCACGTGTGCTGCTGAGTTTACCGGGGGGTCTATGCAGAGTGTGACACCACTGCACTCGTTTCCGGGGCACACTCATTTCCGGGGGACACTCATTTCCGGGGGACACTGGCCATCACGAATGTGACACCACTGCACTCATTTCCAGGGGACACTCATTTCCGGGGGACACTCATTTCCAGGGCACACTGGCCATCACGAATGGCCGCTCTGGAGACTGGAGTGGTTGGAGGCCGGGTGGGTGGTCTTCCTTGCTCCAGGCACTGATGCCTGCTCCCATCTATCAGGGAAGTGCCTCAACCCTTCCAGCACCAACGCACCAAACAAAAACATCACTGTATCAGGACATGGCAGGCCCCTCAGGATTCCCCGACGTTCCAGACGCTGGCCAAGCCTGTGTTGCCCTCGCCGACAATCCTGGCTGCCGCCGGCATAAACGTCGACTTGACAGTGCATGGGTAAAACCACGGTCCTGCTGACGTCTGGTCCCACGTAACGATCTCCCTGCATCAAGATGCCGATGTCTGGCTCATGATCCCCGACCCTTTACAGTGGAAAATGACCCAGCAAAACAAGGAGGGTGTGTGTAAAACTTGGAGGTGCAAACCCAAGGCAAAGCAAGGTTATCTCTGCACAGAGGGCCCATCTCATAAGCGGCGCCCAGAAGCCACGGCAAACACAAACAGCCACGCCTGAACATGCCTGGTTGCGTCTGATCGAGGAAGCTAAGCAGGGTTGGGCCTGGTTAGTACTTGGATGGGAGACCAACTGGGAATACCAGGTGCTGGAGGCTTTTGGTAAAAAAACAAAACAAAAAAAACCACTACATACAAAAATTTTTCCATGTAAAAAAAACCTTAAAAAAAAAGTCAAAACAGCAATGACAAATTGGGGCAAACATTTACAAAATAAATAATACCAGAAGGCTAAGTCCCTTAATATGTAGAGAGTGGTTATGACTGAAAAAGAACTCCATAGCAACACACAGGCATGGATGCGGTTGAGTTCATAAAGCAACATAAACGTATTTTTAAACAGAAGAGAAACTGCGCCATTTGACTCATCACTAAAGAAATGCAAGTAAAATCAAGCCCTTTCCATCTTTCTGATTTAGCAAAGATAAAAATGTTTGCAGACGCTGCACCAGGAGGATGTGGGTAACATCTGCCTGAGGACGGTCACCACGGCTCTGCCCCGGCAGCAAAGGCCACCTGCGACCCCGAGCAGCCACTGGGGAGCCTGAACTGAACCGCAGTGCGCCGCAGTGGGAGGAAGCCAGCGTCTTCCCAGAGACGGCTTCGTGTCCAGGTGCAGAGGGCCCGATGAGTGTCTGTGGGATGGACGGCTACTGCAAGCCGTGGGCGGGGGCGGGGGGCCCCGCGGGACGTCATCTCAGAAACCAACACATCAGGAGACGCCTAGAGTGCTACATAAAGTCAGCCACCGCTTGTGAGAGGAACCACGTATATGGGACCGTGGGGGTGGGGGTGGCAGAGGAGCCTGGCTGTGCAGGGTGCAGGCCACACGGCTTTGCTCTCTGCCTCGTCCAGGGCCTGTGGCATTTCCGAGTCGTTGTGGGCAGCTGTGGGGCCTGTGCCTATGTGTGTGCCTGGCCCCATGCACCCACCTGCTCCAGTTTGCCCACCTGCCTCACCTCACCCACACTGGCCTTTGTGGCAGGCAGTGTCTGGACCCCAAGTGCCGTAAGGAGGAAAAAGTGTAATTCCCTTTCTGGGTTTTGGTAAATTGGCAGAACTGAAAATGGAACGACCTCAGCACAGCAGGGGTTTAAGTGAATGCCAGGGAGTTTCCTTCCTGTGGGGACCAAACTATCACTGTGACCTGACTGCAGCAGACAAGCAGCAAATCCTCATTTCTGGTGTAAGGACCTTATGAGCCCCAACTCCAGGTGGCCGGACCCTCAGCTACACACAAATTATGTTTCCACTGGGGCGGCCAAAGGCTGCAGTGGAGTCCCGGGCATCCGCACGTCAGGAAAGGCACCAGGAGCAAGCAGCCAGCGCTTAAGGCAACACGCGGTGCTCGGCGCGGGGACGCGGTGCTCCGTGTGGGGACGCGGTATTCGGCGCGGGGATGCGGTGCTCCGTGTGGGGACGCGGTGTTCGGCGCGGGGACGCGGGGCCGGGCTGCTCCCCTGCTGTGTGCCACCGCGCAGGGAGGGCCTGTCCAGCAGCTGCAGCATGGGTGCCGGCAGGGACACACGCCCACGGGGAGCTGACGGCCTGGGAAGGGCGTGCCGTGATCGCAGGAGGCATGGGATGGGGAAGGGGAGTCCAGCGGCTGCTGTCAGAGGGCTGGGGGCCCAGGACAGGGAGGCCCAGCGCTGCCCATCTGTCTCCGCCACACCTCCATGACCACACGTATAATAGATGACAAACAGTCAAACAGACCCAGAAGCCAACCAAGGAGAGAAGGAAGAAACTACGCCAGGGTCTAGCTAGAAAAGGTGTTTCCTCCCATTTTATTTCATAATACATTTTCACAGAAACATGATATATTTACAAATATACAGGTAAGAGACTGCTGGTCAGAAATCTTAAAACTGAAAATGTCATCAAAAATTAATTTACAAAAGCCACCGAGGGTCCACGGAGGCGGCCAGGTGGATGGTGTGGCCAGCGTCTGCGTGAGCCTGCCCAGAAGCCCACGCAGCCTCCCAGCTCTGCCTCCGCTGGCCCCGTCTCAGGAGGCGCTGGTTTGCAGGTTTTTGGAAGCTGCAAGCATCGCTCTGACTTTGGCCATGAGATCCTGTGCAGGGCGAGACACAGAGGAGAACCTGTGAAGACCTGGCCAGACAATCCATGCGGTGAAGAAATTCATCAACGAGCTGGTGGTCAAGACCAAAGATAGTGCTTCTAGCACAGTGGGGGTGGCAGAGGAGCCTGGCTGTGCATGGTGCGGGCCACACGGCTTTGCCCTCGGCCTCACCCAGGGCCTGCGGCATTTTGCCTGAGATCCCTGTCCCGTGCCGGTGTCGATGACGGGAGGGGCAGGGAATGAAAATTAGCAAAAGAAAATCCACGAGGCCCCTTGATGAAAGGCTGGGAGTGGGAGGGGGGCACGCCCACTGACCTGAGTGATTTTGCTCTGCACGGAAGAAACGATTGCTGAAGAGATCTGGGCTTCTTTTTCCTGAGAGACTCCCCTGATGCAGAGAGAGAGAGAGAGAGAGAGAGAGAGAGAGAGCAGAGCTTACCACCGTGTGAAGACGCTGAGCCAAGGCCAGCGAACAGCATCTCCACCTCCAAACCCCAGCTCGAGGACTGAGAAGAGCCCACTGCATCTGCTTCCAGTATCCTTTTTTTTTTCTTCCCCCAGACAAGAGTTTCACTCTGTCGCCCAGGCTGGAGGGCAATGGCACGTTCTCAGCTCACTGCACCTCTGCCTCCAGGATTCAAGTGATTTTCCTGCCTCAGCCTCCCGAGTAGCTGGGATTGCAGGCGTGCGCCACCACGCCCGGCTAATTTTTGTACTTTTAGTAGAGACAGGGTTTCACCATATTGGCCAGGCTGGTCTCCAGCTCCTGACCTCAGGTGATCCACCCACCTCGGCCTCCCAAAGTGCTGGGATTATAGGCGTGAGCATATCCTTCAATAAAAACAGGCTTCATAAACATGCTGTTACACGCATCTGAAATGTGTACAAACTGCAATCTAACTAAAAAAAATTTTCATATAAAATTACCTTAAACACAAAGGAAAAAAGAAACAAAGAAAGGAAAGATGCAGCAGAACAGTGGAGCCCTCCCAGAACCACGGCCTTGAGTGGGTGCCCTTGGCCTATGCACGAGGCGTCTGTGTGGGGAGCCAGCACCCCTGCCCCCCAGCGATGCTCAGCCTCCCGCACTGATGTGCATTTGGCCATTATCACATTTTCAGAGACAGGGTCTCTCTCTGTCACCCAGGCTGACGTGCAGTGGCGCCGTCACAGCTCACTGCAGCCTCCACCTCCTGGGCTCAAGCAATCCTCTTGCCTTAGCCTCCTGAGTAGCTGGGATTACAGATGCATGCCACCTATTTTTAGTAGAGACAAGGTCCTGCCATGTTGTCCAGACTGGTCTCAAATTCCCACCCTGGCCTCCCAAAGTGCTGGGATCACAGGTGCCCAGCCCGATTGACATTTTAGCTCTAAAGTTGCCACCTCTTAGCGATTCGGATCCATCTCAAATGAGCTGAGGCCTCTGCCACCTGAATGGAACAGTCGCACATCCCATGATTCACATTTACGGAAGCAATCAGTTTAAAGGGAGCGGCTGTTCCCACATGCCGCCCTCTGGTCCCTCCAGGGTGTGGGTGCCTGGGCAGTGGAGGGTGTCTGACTTGAAGTCATTATCACCTAGCCCAGGACTGGGACGCCACATCTGTGCTGCTGCCTAGGTGTGATGCCCGGCAACAGGTTGGCGTCATCTGGCCCCGGCCGTTGCAGCCTGGGGAGCTGCTGACAGTTCCAGGTCTACTGGTCACTGCAGAGCCCAGTATGCCTGGTGAGCATCAGGCACGTGTGTGACACCCGGGCTGCTTGAAGTGGACTGCTCCACTCCTGGGCTCTGCAGGAGGCTCTCCCCAGTACAGGACCTACTCCTCTGAGCGCTCATGGATTGTGAGAAGCCTCGTCTGGGGGACTTCCTTGCTACAGGGAGTGTGGTTGGCTTCGTGGCTGGTGCCCCCCAGGACACAGGCAGGGACTCAGGGAGGGAGGGAGAGTCCTGCCGGCCACCCCTTGCCCTTCCCCAAAGAGAGCCGCTGGAGGACAGGGGTTACCTGGAGCGTTCCTGGCTGGAGCCCCGACTCTCCACAGGGGAGACGCTGGCTGAGTGGGCCGAGGGGGCCGCGGGCCGGGGAGCTGCCTGCTTGCTGGGTGACACCGACTGAGACCTGGCCTTGGACTTGGTCCGCGACCGGGACCGCCTCTTCTTCTTCTTCTCGTGGGGACTTCTGAAAGGCAAGTGTTTCTGTGAGAGATGGACCTTTGGTTTAAAGGCAGAGCACAAAGGGAGAAGCTCGGACCTGAGCCAGTTTTTGGGTAAGAGTTCGTCAAGGCACAATTCAGGGATGGAACCATTCCAAACACATGAATTTTTCTTAAAGCAACTTATTTCACTGAACTGATAACTGACAACGCGGCAAATCGATCCATGGGTTTAACAAAAGCCACCCAGCACACTGAAGACGGTATGGTCTCCCTGGAAGAAGCTTCGTCCCAGTTTAGGACCTCAAGTAAAATACTTGTGGTATTTAAGATGCAACCAGCATTTTATTCACATGCAAAATACGTAAGATAAGCAACCATAGGCAGTTCACAGCGCTTTGCCGCTACGTTTCATCAATAAAAATTTCCAAAATGATACAGGAAATTATTAAAGTATCAATACATCGAAGTTTAGCGTTCCTTTTTTTAAAAAAGCAGACAGGGTTTCGTGCTGCTATCCAGGCTGGAGAGAGTGGTGCCATCACAGCTCACTGCAGCCTTCACCTCCTGACCTCAAGCAACCTCCTGCCTCAGCCTCTCAGACAGTTGAGGCTCGGGGCGCAGCTTCTGGTGCTGCTGCTTCCTTTTTCTGAAGAGATAGGGTCTCACTCTGTTGTCCAGGCTGGAGCGGTGCTTCTTTCTGACCTGCCAGTTGCCCGCCGCTTGGTGATGCTGCTTAGCCTCTGGGCAGTGGAGCCTGCTCTGTGGGTAGCAGCTCAGCTCTGACTGCTGTCATTCCCTGTCCTCTTGCCTCCCAGAGTCCACATCACCAAACTGACAATCCCGTACCAGAAATGCTTGCCAGACATTCCGGCCTGCACCTGCCCTTAGACCATCCTTCTCTCCTGCCTGTAGAGGCCGACCCTTTGGCTTCCGCCTGGTCTAGCTCCTTTCCACACCTGAGCCACGTGGCCCTCTTGGCCACTCCTCTACAAACACTTAAGAGAGTGAACACGTACTTGGTAAAGGCAGACAGGCCTGAGCCCTTCCCATGAGGCCCTCCAAGCCCTGAGGTGCCCTACCTGGCATCTTTCAGAATTCATCTGTAACAGACGCTGCAGCCTGCGCTTCTGGCCCTGAGTACAGAGTTTCTTGGAGAGTCTTTGCATGGGTCATTTGCATCACTGATTTCCTTCCTTCCTTCCTTCCCTCCCACCCCATCCTTCCCCTCCCTCCTTCCTTCCTTCCCCTCCTCCCTCCCTCCTGTCCTGCTTGCTGGGGCCTGGACAGGATTTCCTTCCTTCCTTCCTTTCCTCCTCTATCCTTCCCCCACCTCCCTCCCTCCTTCCCTCCTGTCCTGCTTGCTGGTGCCTGGACAGGATTTCCTTCCTTCCCTCCCTCCTGTCCTGCTTGCTGGTGCCTGGACGGGATTTCCTTCCTTCCTTCCTTCCTTCCCTCCCTCCTGTCCTGCTTGCTGGGGCCTGGACAGGACAGATCCTAGGAGTAGGGCTGCGGGGTCTGCTGCTGCAGAAGCTGCCAGAGGCCTCCTGGCTCAGCCTCACCCTTGCTATCCAGGTGGACCCAAACTGCTCAATCTGCCAACCTGAAGGGGGAACCGTGGTTCTCTGCTGGTGTCTGACTCTCCTGGGGTTGCTATCTGCACAGATGCAAGCGTCTGGCCTCCCTTATGATTCTGTGTGCCACGAAGCCCCTTCCCAGCCTGGCCTCTTCTGTCTTCCAGGGAGACCCCCAGGGCCTGTGCACAGGCCCAGTTACCCCAAGCCCTGCCCCTCATCAGGGTCTCCCGACTTCATGCATTTCTTTTGTGCCAACCCCCAAGATCTGGAACATTCTTGCTTAATGGCTGGGGCTGTGCTCACAGTCTGGGGTGCAGACCCCCATCAAGGGGCCATACCCTCTACCCATCTCTCGGACCCCACTAGTGCATGGCCCTGCAGAGCTCGGACAGAGCTGTGGGAGGAGGGGCCACAGCATGCCCTGGTAGGGACAGCCCCGATATGCAGAAGGGGACTGAGCGTTTCTGTCTGGGCTCCCTTGTGTGGTTCTGGGCATGAGCAGACTGTGTTGGTGCCAATGAAGTGACCTAAAGCAGCAGCGCCAGGCCTGGGGCACTCCCACCCAGCTCCATTCAAACAAGGCAGGACCTGCCAGAGGCGGTGCTGGCTGGCAGCTTAAATCCAGTTGCTGGAGGGGCTGTCCCTGGTGAGCTGGGCCCGGACAGATGACCTGGCATCTTCTGGAAGCCTGCCTGATGTGCCCAGTGAGGACAAAATGTTGTAAATGGAGATGTTGCTCTTACTGTTCAATACGCCCATGTGGGATCTGTACACAAGAGTCATTTTTCTAAATTGCAAAATGTTTTGTGAAATTTTTGTCTATGAATACATGCCAGGATTTCAAAGGAAGCAGCAAATAAATAAAATATATACCAGCATGTGACATGTGTCCGAAATGACTTACTCTCGAAATCCAGCTGAGTTTATGGGGCTGCATAATGAACAAAAGGCAGGTTACTAATCCTTAACTGTAAACTGGCTGAATTCTGCTACAATCTGATCTAAGCCCTTGCTGAAGGAATGAAGTAACTCATTCATTTTTTTTAAAGTACTGAGGTGCCATTGGGTGAAACGATGTCCTCGGTGCTGGCAAGTGCGCACACCCTGACACCTGGGCCCTATCCACGCAGGGGTGTCTCTTCCTTCCAGAAAGTTCCTCAATGCCACTTCATCTATACCTTCTCCACCCTGAGCGCTCCCCACTGCTCTGATTTCTAGGGCACAGCTTAAAGCTCTATGGAAATGAACCCCACACTATGCCTGTATTTGTTTGCTGGTTTGGCTTCTTGGTTTTCTGTTGTTTCTCAGACAGTTTCCCTGTTGCTCAAGCTGGAGTGCAGGGGCACAATCCCTGCTCACTGTAGCCTTGACCTCCCAGGCTCCAGTGATCCTCTTGCCTCAGCCTCCCAAGTAGCTGTGACGACAGGCAGACGCCACCACAAACGTTTTTTTTTTAAGTAGAGATGGGGGTCTCTACTTAAAAAAAAAAAAAGCCTGAAAATCCTGGGCTCAAGCAATCCTCCTGCCTTGGCCTCTCAAAGTGCTGGGATTACAGGTGTGAACCACCACACCTGCCCTGTGTCTGGCTGCTTTTGCTTAGCAAAGCATGTCTGAGTCCTCCATGAAGCAGGGTGACCCTCCATGTGTTTCTTTCACCTATGAATAGTATTACATGACAGGACGCTACCATCGTCTGTTGATTAATTCTCCTGTTAATAGAGATTTGGTTGTTTCCAGTTTTCGGCAATTATCAATCAAAGTGTTTTTGGTCCAATGTTGACCTACAGAGGTGGTCACAGCGAGGAACAGGACAGCTGGGTGAGGGAGTAGGTGTATACTTAACTTTACAAGAAACTGCAAATATTTCCCAACCCAGTGTCTGAGAGTGCAGCTGCTGGGCCTGTGCCCACTCTCCCCAGAGCCCGTCCAGTCCTGTCTCACTGGCTTCATCAGCACGGCCCTGACTGCTGACTCATGCCGTTCCACATCTTTCCATGTGCTTACTGGCTATTTCAGTAGATCCTTTTGTGAAGTCGGCTGGCGTCATCTGCCCCCTTCTTAATTGGGTCCTTTGTCTCTTTGGTACTGACACAGGCTTTTGTCAAGAGATACACGCCGCAAAACCTGCGGCCTGCCTATTCATCTTCTTAACTGTGCCTTTTGAGAGAAGTTTTTACACTTCAATGAAGTCTAATTGATTTTTTCCTCTTATCAAGAGGGTTTTCCACATCTTAAGGAATCTCTGCCACCCTCAAATTCATGAACATACTCTGTGTTTTCTTCAAAAAGCGTAACAGTCTGATCCGACCTGAATTAAATTTTGCAGATGGTGTGCGCCGCACTTTTCCCGTTCCGGTGTCCGGCTGTCCATGCAAGTTTTGTCGGAAAGACTTTCCCGGCTGGGCGCTGGGGCTCACGCCTGCAGCCACAGTATTCTGGGAGGCCACAGCAGGAGGACTGCTTGAGCCTAGGGGTTCAACATCAGCCTGGGCAACATAGCGAGACCCCATCTCTAAAATAATAAAAAAAAAAATTAGCCAGGCATGGTGGCGTGTGCCTGTGGTCCCAGCAGAGGCAGAAGGATTCCTTGAGCCCAGGAGGCTGCAGTCAGCCGAGCTGAGCCGAGATCCCACCACTGCTGCACTCCAGCTTGGGCAACGAGTGAGACCCTGTCTCTTTAAAAAAAAAACAACAACACTTTCCTTTCTTTTTTCCATCACTGAATCACTGTGGCTGTGGCCCCAGCCCCCTGCCCTTTGGGTGATGAATTTTTTCTGCACTTTCTATTCCATCCCACTGTTCTGCTGTATCCTCATGCTGAGGCCACACTGCCTTGGTCACTGCAGCTTTCTGGTAAGTCTTGAAATCTTGCTCTTTGTCAAGGAGGCTGTTTTGGCTCTCCCAGGTCATGTGCATTTCCACACATGCTTCGGAGTTTGTGCCAATTTCTAGACAAGCCATGGGAGCTCTGAGTGGGACTGCACTGCATCTCTGCACCAACTTGTGGAGAACAGGCATCTCAGTAATACTTAGTTGGCTAATATTTTATGAAGTATTTTTGCATCTATGTTCTTGAGAGTCCTGGTCTGGAAACATATACGTGTGTGTGTACACACAGCACTGGTCTGTGAACACACACACGCACGCACACACAGCACTGGTCTGTGAACACACACGAGCACACAGCACTGGTCTGTGGACATGCATGCATGCGCACCGGTACTGATCTGTGAACACACACGTGCACACACAGAGTACCGATCTGTGAACACACGTGCACATACAGCACTGGTATGTGAACACACACATGCACACACAGCACTGGTCTATGAACACACATGTGCACACACACAGTACAATCTGTGAAAACACGTGCACACACAGAGCACTGGTCTGTAAACACACATGCATGCGCACCAGTACTGATGTGTGAATACACACGTGCACAC